ATTGCTTGATGATATTTTGATGGATTGATCAATTTTTTTTGATCCTAATCCCATTGAGGTAGATTTTATTCGTTGGAATTCGGACCTTTTACCGGTTAATGTTGTTGCTAACATGCATTAAAATTTCAAAATTATTTGATTTTATTGTTTCTTTTTCCTCCCAATTGTTGATTAATTTATTTATATTTTATTCCAGATTTCTGATCAAAATTTAACTTTTAAATTTTAATGGTTTATTTTTAAATTAAAAATTTCTTTTATTCATTATCTTTTATCCATTATTATTATCATTTAAGATTAATATTATATGCCTTTTCATATGGAATAGTAATTAATAACATAATGAAGTCTATTGGATAATTTCAATAATTTTTGTTTTTTATTGAATTTCAAATTTAATTTTTCAATTATTCTATCGATAATATTACGATAATGTCATATCTTTCCTTTTTCTTTCTCCATACCTATTAATTTACCTATTTCTTTATTATTATTTATTAATTTTCCTGTTATTCTATTCCTATGTTTATTTATTTCTTTTTTTTGAAATATTCAATTCCTATTATTTAATATTCATTTCAAATATTCAATTCCAATGTTTAGTATTCCTCCTATCTTAAATTTTCATCACAACCACTCATTTTCATCCTTTACCTATTTCCATTTTTCCCGAGATTTTTATCGTAATCAATTCAATTTTTTAAATCAAAAAAAAAAAAAAAGCGGGAAGAGAGAGAAAGAGGACAAGGAGAGATTGGATGACATAAAGATAGGAATTGCTAAGGTGGATGAGAAAAGAAAGGTAAAAAAGATGAAGAGAAGAGAGGTAAAAGAAAAGAAAAAAAATGCATGAAAGAAAGATAATATAAACGGGAACGAAAGAGAGAAAAAAAATGCAAATCAATGAGAGGGAAGAGACAGAGAGAGAGAGAGAAGGAAAGGAAAACAAAAAAGGAAAAAAGGAATAGATTTAAAATGACAGTAAAAGTCATTAATCATTTCTTATTTTCTCCTTCATTATTGTCATCATTGTATTTCTCTTACCTATTTTCAACCTTCCCTAACGAGTAATAAAAAAAAAGAAAAACGAAAAAACAAATTTTATGAAATTAAACATATTTATTTGAATAAATTTTATAAAATTTATTCAATTTCAAATATAAAAATTGTACAAATCATCCAACTGCTCTTTTCTTTTTCCTTTTTTTCTTTTCTCTTTTCAAAACCCTTTATTATAGCAATATCTTTTTATAAAGAGAGAAAAAACTTTTTTTTTCTTTTTTAAGCAATTTTTAAAAATTTTTATTATTATTTTTATCAGAATAAACAAAAATTTGCCAACCTTTTTTTCTCACTCACTTTTTTCCGCCTCGCCATCAGTTTCTTTTAATTTTTTTTCTTTTTTTTTTTGGGAATAAAATTAATTTTGAAAATTAAGCTTTATAAATTATTCAAACTTCAATAAAAATATTTCATTTTTTCATTTTATATTATTGAAAAATTTTTTTTTATTTTGATAAAATTTTGCAAAAAAAAAAAATAAAAATAACAACAATTGTTGTTTCAAAATTTAAGTTTTAGAAAAGATTTTAGAATTGAAAATATCTCTGCCCCATATATTTTTGTTTGTTTTGTTGTTTTTTTTTTTTTCTTTTTTTTAA